TAAGGATGGAAATAAATGGATCTTGCCTTCTAGCGCCATCTCCTGGGAACAACAGAGAGCATGCACTGAAACGAATTTTTTTTTTAGGGGTGGGGTGTGATGCACTATTGGGTTTTTTTAATCTCCTATCTTCCCCCTCCCAAGTTCTGAATTCTGGGCTTTTCCAGCTAATCCCTTCTGAGGAGATGTTCCAGGAACATCCCCAACCCGTTGAGACCCAGACGCAGTGGAAGCCAATCATTCCGCCAGTGAACCCGAATCCCCAGTCCCAACACACCCACTCCAGGAGGCAGGAGTACACTCCAGTCCTTAAACTGTTCTAGATAAGAGTTTCTTGTCAGCCATAAGAAAAAAATACATATTTTCAATGCTTTAAAATTAAGTATCTGGATAAAGAAAAATTGTAGCTCTGTTCAAATGCCATTTATTTTTCTTCATTTGGTCTTGTGGGGTGTGTGTGTGTCTATTTTGGGAGTAGGAATGGGTAGGGATGATAAGAGGACACCAAAAACATAAGCTATAAAATGGATTTATTCTTTAAAAATATAATTAAATATCCAAATGAAGACATTGAGAAGACCTCTTTTGGCAGGATTGCCTGCAACTGTCTGACTTATCCCCAACCTCTGCAAATAGACTTGAGTTTTAGGAACTGCTTGGTAATAAGATCAGTGAACAAGCTGGGTGGCACTGTTTTTTATAATGAATGAGAAATGACTATAACGAAAATGATTTCCTTCTGTGGGGTCATAAAATGACCGTATTCCCTCCTTCAATTCTTTTTTAAAATCATTTTCTTGGGAGCTCTTACAGATATAACATTCCGTAGTTCAATCACATCAAGCATTGTTGTACCATTGCTACCACAGCCAGTTTCAAAACATTTTCTTTCTCCTTGAACCTCTTGGTATCAGTTCCCCTTTATCTCCTCCCTCCACCACCCTCCCCACCCTCCTTCAATTCTTCTTCCCTGTTGCTAACAGGAATTTGGTTCTTAAAACATGGACATGGTATCACTTAACCACTTGTCAACCCTCCAGGGCTCCCGGTTAGCTTCAGAATACAAGCTGAGATCTTTAGCCCTGTTTGGGCTGAAAGAGGAGCATCATCGGGTAATGGCATCAGTTCGGCATGGGTCGTTTAAATCTTACTTCTGTGCCTTACACCAATGATTTTACCCTTGGAGACCTTCATTTCTAAAACAGAACTGACAACATCTACTTTGTTAGGTTGTTTTGAGGACAGCTAAAAGGCTATAAAGTAGGAAACTTTATAATGCTTGGTAGTTGTTTTTATTCCCACCTGGCCATTTAATGGCCATTTGTGACCTGTCTGGATAGAAGTTTCCTGGCTCAATCCACCCCCCATCTTTCAATCACGCCCCACCCCATCTTCTCAGGGGCATTTACCTACTTGTTTGATTCTTGAAAGGAGATAGAGCTTCAACACCACTTGCTTGGCTTATGTACTTGCTACCTTTCATGTCTCTTTCCCCTTCTCCCTGCCCCCAACTCCTTTCTGTCAAATACTACATGACCATCTCCTCTGTGAGCCTAGGCTGTGAATGCTTATCATATCATATCTGCACACACACTTTGTTCTCAGCCAAGTTGCAATCTCCTTGAGTCAGGAACTATGTCTTCCAATTCACTCTGGACACTCCCAGTGAGGTGCTTGGCTTAGAACAGCCACTCAGGAAATGTTTGTTGAAAGAATTCGTTCCAAACGCATTATTATTAATAGCAAAACAAGTTTTCTTTCCAAAGGGGCCATTTTAAGGGATGGCACCTATCTTCACATACAATATCAGTTCCCTATTTGTTTCACAACCACTCCCGTATCTTCGAGATATGTTCCATTTATAGTTAGTAGAGATGAATCAAATAATAGTAAATAGATGTAGATCATAGATGTTGGTGACAGACTATATAACCTAGCAGTCGATTGACTGATTGATGGCTATTTTAAAATTTTAAGTATGACTCACCTCAGAGTGAAGAACACATGTTTTATATGTAAGCGCTGATTTTTCACCATTACACAGAACATCATTTGAATTGGAAAGGTATTTCTACCTTGAAAACAAACAGCGAAACGTACACCCAGACCCACTATCATAGAGTTGATGCTGATGCACAGCGAACCTATATAGGGTTTCTGAGGCTGTAAATCTTGACCCTTGACCGGAGAAGACAGCCTCACCTTGCTCCTGGGAGACCCTGGCGAGTTGCCGACAGCACCACTTCTGCCTTGAAATCGTTCTCAAACCCTTTCCTTATTTTCAATGTCCGGCTTTCATCCCCCAGCTACTTCCTACAGTCACTTCCTAATGAGTCTCCCTTCCTTTTCTTCCTCCCTGTCTTCTGGCTCTTGGGAAGCACTCAAATATTTGACTGAATCCTGGTGAAAGGATGAGATCAGGTTGGGTAAACTATTCAACTTTATCAGGTTCAGTAGCAAAGGTCGCTACTGATACTTCAGAAGTTAAGATCCTAAGACCTCTACCCCGGCCCCACCCCCACACTAAATATACATTAGGGTTTCTAATGGGGGTGGAGGGCATAGAATATCTGCGCCCCAGACATTCCCTCCCCTTCCCGTAACCCACGCTTATTCCTCGACCTGGCCGACTTGCCTGCGCCAATCGGCGCCGCCCAGCAGTCACACCCGCCCGGCAGCGGTCCAGTCAGCGGAGAGCCATCCATCACTGTCTCGAAACAAGCCAATCGGGCCAGCCCGACCTTCCTGTCGGCCAATGGCATGAGAGCAGGGGGCGCGCCGAGTCGGAGGGGGCGGGGTCTGCCGGCTCACGTGGTATAAAAGGGATCCGAGCGCCCGCCCGCGTAGTCTCCGTGCCCCCTCCCTGCAGCCTGGGTGTGGCCTGCGTCCCCTCTCGAACCCAGGCGCCAATTCAGCGGGAGGGAAGGGCTCCCCTGAACTGCATGCCTCCCCGCTCCCACGGGGCCGTCCGAGTCGCCCAGGCAGGGGAGGAGGGAGGGTGCCGAGAGCTGGGCAGGGGCCCAGGGGAGGAGAAGAGACGGGAAGGCGGCTCCCGGCGCCTGCTCCCACGCCGAACTGCCCTTCCTGAAACCCGGGGTCCGCAGCTGGCGCCCCGCCTGCCGGCTCCCGGCTGTGGCTGCAGCTAATGAGCCGTCTGGGGAGAGCCGGTTCCCGCCGGGCTGACGGCCAGGCCCGGCGTCCTGGCGGCTGCGCCGGGCTGCGGGAGTCGAGAGGGGGCCGGAGGGCGGCGGCCTGCCAGTGCCCGACCTCCTCGGCTCACTTCTCTTAACCGAGGACCGACCCTGCGTGGGCGACGGGGGTCAGACTTGCCCCTGGGGCCTAAAAAGTAACCTCCGGCCCACAAACACCGACCCCACCCCCACCCCCCACCACGGAAACTACGGCCCTTTGAAAACACCCACAAGCACTTAAACTTCAGGGCCTCAGTGCTCCCGTCCATAAAATGGGGATAGCATGGCCTGGCTCACAGGACGCGGTGAGTCCGCGTGCGGAGAAGCA